CGAACGTGAGATTTCACGGCGTAGCGAATAATTTAAATTAGGAATGGATTGGACGCGGAGTAACGTTAAACAATTTAATTAGATCGTTAAGCGCATTTATATACGCAATTATGAAGGTTTAACGGTGTTATCGTGGATAAATCACGTGTATTATCGAGAAGTGGAGTGTTTCGCTTCAAACATGGTTTATCTCGGTGCCGTGTATTGCGATACATGGATAGGCAAATAATGAAATTAAAAAAAAAAAAAATTAAAGAGAGCTGTGGACACAGTGCGCAAAGGGGTTAATTAAACAACGTTACCGTGTTATATGAAAAGCCAAACACCGGGTCCTTCATATCGCTACGTAAATAAAAATTTAACGCGCGTTGCAGACAACGATACAAAAAAAAAGGAATTAAAAAACATTAGTAAAATCACGAAATAGCGAAAGGGGGGCGAATCACGAGCGCTATTAAACGAGAAAAAAAGATGAACGGTAAAAGCAGATTTCAAAAAAGCGAACATCGCAATGCGACACGCGGCAATGGTTCACTGAGAGAAAAAAATGGTAAATCGCACTAAAATTATAGTAAATTTCGGCGCCAACTATATGTTTTCTTGTTGTTCCAACAAAATAGTAATAGTAGAAACATGTATATAAGATTATTATCACTAATGCTATAACAACATTTGTGACAAAAATGGCTTTTCCGACAATAATTCTCTCACTATGCGATTATAGTTAGATGCGATTATATTTTAACCACACTGAGCAAAAAATAATTAGAAATTTATTTTTGTGAAATAACACGGAACTTTATTCCTGCAAGTAAATTTTATATCCTACAGATAAATTTTCACGTATTTCTTTCTTAATGTATAATAATTATGCACCGATAAAAGTTTATTCACAGAAATAAACATTATTTCCTAGAAATGAACTTTATTTCATAGAAATAAATTTTGTATCCCACAAAAAAGTTATCAAATATCTTTCCGCAGTGCATTGTTCTTTCGCCATAGAAGAAAGCTAAATGAAAACAAAGTGCCTGTATTAACAAGACATCCTTTTCTGCACTGACAGAAAAATTATATTAAAATCAACAAATATTTCTTTAATGGGTGCCATTAACATATTTACTTAAATCTGCGTACCTTTTTACCTAATTTAAATAAACAATATTTGATTTAAATAAAGAAAATGTAGATTTAAGTA